ATTCAAACGTAATTTATGGGGACTGAGGATAAGGTTTAAAACTGACAGGCTGTTGAATCCTGAGACATTTCCACCCACTCTGTTTCCACTGCATAAATCAAAGCCTGCCTTTGTTCAGCAGCAGTATTGTAGCAATGTCTATGAGTTCAGAGCAGTGATTGAGTTATCTTTGAGGTAGCTGCCCTGAAATAAAAATAAAGAGTAAATTCCTCTGGAGTGGAAAGTTCATGTGCCATGTGCCTGGTTCAACGGGCACCATGCGGAGCTGCAGGCATGGCTGAACTCTCTGTTATACCAAAACAAAACTGGTCCATCTGCAGCTCGAGCTAGGGAAGGATCAGGCAACAAACAGTGCAATCATCAGCACGCTGTAGTGGCTATATGTAATCTCTAGATAAAAAAGTCTATGGTAAAAAAGTGGGTATCTATGTACAGCACAGAATAGCACTCAAATGAAGTCTCTGCCAAATATGAAGCAAGAGTCTTGGCTTGTAACTGGCTGATTGGACACCTGGCATATCTCTGGGACCATTGCAGCAGCATCAAGGTTTTGTGGGGCAGGCAAAGGATCAGCCATGTGGCAATGATTGTATGATTGAAATATCATACAATCCCACAGGCAATGATTGTGGGGGGCTTTCCTCATTTTCTTCCTTAACAGGAGAAGCTGCCTAGGGAAAATATGAGCATGTTTGAGAGAGAGAAGGGGAAAGCAGTGATAAGGAAGGTCAGCATTGCTGGAGGGCCAAGGGCTGGGCTTGGTGTTGCAAGGGGGTCATTGCAGGGAGAGTGACTGAGGCTGTCTGCACTGCAAGGGATACAGTGGCTCTGCAGGGCCCTCCTGCCACTCTGGAGATGCAGGTTTATCTGGGGATAAACCAGATCTCTGAGGGAGGGCAAGTAATCCAATAACTGTAAGATGAATTACATGATGAACTGCAACAGTTATTATGTTTGTAGTATATGTACTTCCATTATAGCTAAATTAATTGAGGTAGCTGTATGATATGAGCAGGGGTCTCAGGAATTAACCTAATCATTCAGATGTGACCTCTCTCTCTAATGCTCAGAAATTAGCAATACATCATTTGTTCTCCTAAGATCTGTGGTATCTTAATCTCTGTCCGTGCTTACAAAAGCAATTGTAATTGTGCAAAATAAGCAAAAGGAATGGATAACATTATTCAGACCAGAACTGTGGTGGAATCACTTGACTCTCAACAGATTTTGGTTTAAAGAGCTGAAAGGTTCTTCTTTCAGCTCTTTGGGCTGATGCATTCAGTTCTTTGGGCACCATCCATTCTCTAGCACAGCTCAGTGTGAGACACTCGCCCGTACAAACCTTGTCATGGTTCTGTTGGTCTGACATGGTGCCGGTGCTGATGCAAAAAGGAGGGGCTGAAATACTGAGGATCCTGAGGAATGCTACTGTCCTGTCTAGGAATGGAGATGCACCCCATCTATGTCAGCAAGACAAAAGAAATCTGCTTTTCTGTGCACTGGAATTTTCCTGAGCTAGAGATCTCAGTTTGGTTTTATAACCAGGCAGATATCCGTAACCTACATCTCACTAAAGAAAGGATTTATCTTTTCTTTTAAAAGGTTGTCTATATTTTTATCTAGGGACTGAAGTAGGCAGAATGAAAACACTGAAAACAGCAAAGAGAGAGAAAAGGCAATTCTGGAAAAGTGCTACAAGAGCTTTTCCTCCGTGCAAGCCTGTTTTTTTCCCCTGATCTTTAGCTTCTGCACCCGGTTACCTGACTCTGCCTCACTTCAGCGTATTTCAGAAATAAAATCTGTCACAATATTTCCTCTCCAAGTGCCACTGTGTGTAGGTTTCAGCTCCTGACAGGTGTATGAAATACCAGCTCCACCAGATGCACGCAAACATGGAAGCTTTAAAATGGCTCCACAGGCCACAGGCCCTCTTCGCCATGCTGTGTCACTGGGGACAGGTGTCCTTTCAAAGGTTTACTTTTAAAAAGAGAGACTGGTCCTGGTGGTGACATATTTAAAATTGCTGAGTGATTTTTTAGGAGCCAGGCAGGGAGTGCTGCCTGAAACCTGCATCTGCAGGGCAGGGAAAGGGGCTGAAGCTCCTCTTGCAAAAAACTGTGTCAAATCACAGGTGTCCTAGCTGAACTTTATTTTCAAATACTTTAATCTCTTTCTTGGAGGCAAAGTCAAATCCTCCCTCCATGGCTTTGATCTCAGCTGCTTTTCTGGAGTGTTGGCTGGGAAACATAAGCGAAGTGAGGGGAGATGCTGTCCCTGTAGTGGAGCAATCTGGGTTTTCTCCCAGTCATATGCCCTGCAGCCCTGTAATGCATTTCCTGCTTTCTGTGTATCCATAAAATCTTTTTACTCTTGCGTGAAAAGTAATGTTAAAAAGGATGACTCCTTTTTGTTTAGCATGGACCCACAGAATTTTGGTTATTTTGCTGGCAGTGGTAGCATGTCAATCTGCTGGTACCTCAATTTCTCCCTCCTGGTTCACTTAATTTTCTGTTTTAACCTTTTCTGTGTCTTTGCACCTGAGGATTTTTCTAAATTAAAAAATATTTTTAGAGGCTGAAGTGCTTACTGAAAGGTCTGTAATTCTAGCTGATACATCATTCCTGCCACAGAGGAGCTGTGAGAGAGGTATCACAAATGTTGATGGCCAACACTGGGATCGACCCAGCTCCTTTGTCCTTGGTTTCAGCAAACCCCACCTAGCCGGATGCTCTTCTGCTTTTAGCATGCAGCACACTAGCAAAATGCATCCAGGGCCTTTTCCTGACACTGCCATTGCTCTTTAGAGCCAGAACAGAAGACGCTGTAGCACAAGGACAGTCAGAGGGGCAGGGCGGGACGGGGCTCTCTGTCCACCAGGAGATGGCAGTGCATATACTGAGTTTGGGGCTTTTCCCCTTTACTTCTCTTTTACAGTTTCCCTGAAAGAAAATGGGTCTTTTGAGGACAACAGACCCATAACATTTTCATTGTTATTTGGTTTTCTTTTTTTTTTTTACATCCTTCCCACACCTCTCTCTGCAGCACAATGCCCCCCCACCCCCCACACCTTCTGGTCACCTTTCAAGTCGCAGTGGCTCAGCCCTACAGACAGGCACAAAGCATTGTCACGGATGCTGAACACCAACACTGGAGGAAGAAAAGGAAGAGAGGGCGACCCATTTTGACGTTAGCAAGCAGTGTGTGCACAGGCTTGATCTCAGTGGTTTTCTGCCCATGCTTTCCTTAAAGAAAAATATGCCCTTGTAGGAAAATGGAATTGACATTTAGCTTCTAGGCTTCATCCTTGACATTCTCAGCTGGCCAGAGGATGGCAGGAGACACAGCTCCTTGCCTGTGTCAAGCCTGTGTGGCTTTGGGCCATATAACTCACAGCACTTAAGTCTCCTGCTAAGGACTGACATTTTCTGCTGCAATGTCTTCCATCAGAGGGCTTCCAAAAAGGGTACATTAACATATGAAGTCCCATAGATTTTGGAAGGACAGAATGAGACAATAGCTCAGAAAGGGACAGTTTTCTGCACCTGCCCCACCAGCAATGCTCATGGAGCAAAGTCCTTGTGTTCTCCCTTTCCTCACCATTTTGGAGCAGACTCTCGGGAGTTTTGTGCCTTCTGCACTTACTGATGAGAGGCTGTTCAATGAATTGCAAATAGATTCAAATGCCAGAGCTGAAAAGGTGGATTTTTTTTTTTTTTGGAGGTAGTGCCATAAATAAAGAGACTCCAAGTCCCTGTTTTACATAATGCTCCAAGAACTTTCTCCTGTTTTGCCCCAGTTTTTCACTTATCCTATCAAAACATTTTTCTAAATAATTACAGAGTGTTAAAAATGGATTGCTGTACCCAGGGGAATTTGGTCTTTGTTTGCCAGGAACAACTAGGCCAAGAGACTGTGCGCTCAGCATCACGAGTGGTGTTTGAAGGAAAGAGCAAAGTCAAAAGCCTGTGTACATCACCAGAGATGCTCTTTTTTCAAAGTGAATTTTTATTGCACATTGTCAGGGTTTCAGGAGACACTCCTGCACATTCTGCTCCTAGGGGCTGGAGGAAAAGGAGTAATCTCCTCATCCCAGACAAATGCACATGCTGTTGTTGACACAAAGGAATTTCTATTAATCTTTCTGGAAGTGACCTATTCAAAAATATTTCTTTGCTTCTTAAGATGCCACTTCCAATCAAGTACTGGGTTTTGATTACAACAGTCACGTTCATAACTGTTTGCACTTCAATGGCGTTACTGTGCCTCCTCTGATAATCCCTGAGCCCTGAGCAAACACAAACCTGGAAATATTCAAAGCATCCTGCTGTCATCAGTGTCTCTGCAAATTGTTTTTCCCTTTTAGAGAATCCTTTTTGCATTTGGTGTGCCTGAACAATGTGTTTCCTACTGTAGTGTGATGCCAGGTGGTAGGAAGATGAAAGATGGACTAAGCACACCTAGTTTCCCCCAGGAAAAAGAAGAAACTGGCCTAAGGCCACAGCCCCCAGGAGAAGTTCAAGATATGCTGATTTCCCTGTGGGTTTGCCAGGTTGAACCTCCTCACCCACACACATGATAAGGGCTTGCTGGAGTTGGAAAGTGGTTGGGGGCTTTACAAGAAGTAGGGCCATGCAGTAGTTGTTCAGCAAGACTTGAAAGAAACATGAAATATTTAACAATACACAAACAAACAAATCCCTTTGATGTGATTTTTGCTGTATTTATTTGCTTCCCAGCTCGATTGCAGTCATATCCCAGGCAGCAAAGAGCACATGGCTGCAAGACAACCCCCCTAGACTTTACATCAAGGCCACTTTGCACAGTCCTCTTATTTCTCCTGCTTCCCAGGCCAAGGCTGTGAGGGTAAATGTGTGTACTATGTACACTGAGAAACAAAAGATATTTCAATCATACAATCATTGAATTGTCTTAAAGATTGACCTTTAAGATCATTGAGTCCAGTCAAGTATGTGACTGCTGCCTATGGACTCCAAAGTTGTTTATGGTATGAAAAAAGCCAAGTCAAACCCACCTGTGTACATTGCATCCTCAGCAAAGAGCAAGGCAGGTCTCTCCCATTCTCTAGCACTCCAACCTATGTGTGGATTTCTTTTATAAATTATTTCTGGATGCCTTATATTCAAGTTAAGTGGATTCTGAAATATCTGTGCACACATTAATCTGTATCTAATATGTGTGTGTACACATACAGGGACTCCAGGGACAAGTGCTTTCCACCATTTCCATCAACCCTCTCCCTTCTAGTCTCTCTGGTTATTTGTTACTTTCACTTGCTGTTCGTTGTCTTAAATTAAACTCTAAGCTTGTCCTCACAGGAATGTCTTTTATTGTGGGTTGTTGAAAGGTTTTGCAGAGAAACTGGAGCAGCAGATAGAGCTCTCCAGGCACTACTGAAATAATAATGAAGTAGTTTCACCAAGGTTGGACGAGAGAGCGTTGTCGGCTGCGTCTGAATTCTGCTTGTCCCTGAAAATTGCTTAGGTAATAAGATAGCTGCTTTAGAATTGCTGGGGGTATCCCACAGGATTCTGCTTTGACTCTGATTTCCATTTGCAGCACATGTTCTGCCATTTGGCCAGCACCATCCGCCCGTGTGAGCTAATTTAAGGTTGCTAAACAGATGACACAGAACATACATCTTTTATATTTGATCTCTGCACTGGTGAGTTATCTGACTGATGGTTAATCTCAACTTGTAATAGGATTTGCCTACACTTCTTGAGAGTGAGATATTGGTCTTCTTTAAACCGCATCCTGGGGGAAGCATGCCTGGGGGAAAGGTGGGGGTGTTAATTTGTGCGTTTTTGGCTTCTTGTTTTTGTAGGTTGGAGCCAGTGCTGCGTGCCTCTGTGAGGAACAACAGGGCCATCAGCCCAAGGAGCTCACCTGTCAGAGGGACAGCATCTTCCAGCTCTAGGGTCATCCCTGCACAGCAGCAGGGTGAGGAGCTGGCTGCCCGCAGCTGGTGCGGGGCTGGTTGGGCTCAGCTCCCGTCCAGGTTGGTGAGTGCTCTGTGCTGTGCTGAGCTCAGCGGCTGGCCAGCCCTCTGCGTCACTTTCTGCCTTCCTTTGTACACATCAGAGTGTTGACCTACTGACTGTCTTCATGCTGGGGGGCTTTTCTGTGCCTCTATCCACTTCATCAAGGACAGTGCTCAGACAGCCAGCTTTGGGTATTGCTGTGTTTTACTCTCAGGCCAGTCCCCATTCCCAACACTATGTGCCCTCTCTGTGCCTCAGTCTGCCAGCTATGCTGCTGCATTTTCTCCCCTTAGTCCCTTCATGTCTGCCTAGCCTCTTCCAGAGGTACAGAAGAAACAGCCTAGAGACTACACTCAGCAAGGAGAACACTCAGAGCATCCCACCTTTACCTGCTGTAAGGTGGGAAAAGGTGTCTGTCAGCCCCCAGAAGACGAAAGGCTTCTGGCACTGGCTGGCAGCCCAGCTGGATCCTGGCAGAGCGGGCAGAGGAGGGAGCTGGCAAGCACTGTTTGCACCCTCTGCACCCATGCACCCTCCTAGCATGCCCAGAGGGGAGAATATTGTACTACAAGACCATGGAGACCATGAAAACTCAATGCTTCTGGCTGTATGACAACTTGTATTGACACTTCAGTTGCTACGGTCACATAGTCCTCAAATGACATCTGCAAGTGAAGGACAACAAAAAGAAGCCTAAACATGGATGTCCACAATAAAAAGTCTTGCTCACACAGACAAAACCTTCTACACATCCTGCAGCAGCACCAAAGCTCACAGACAGCACTGGGTGGTGCCCTGGAATGATGCTGTGTGTTCTAGGTGAAGTTGGTTTGAGGTAGGTGCTAATTGCAAGTTTAGAAGGTTTGTCCAAATTTTCAACAGTGTAATACCATGCCAGCATGAAAATCTGTTTATTTCTTGTGCAAGTCAGCAAGTAACTTCTGACGTGTTGGGTAAGAGCCAGACAGTGTCAGTAAGAGGCACAGTGAGGTGTGTGTCCCTCCCACCTCTCCTGAAGTGCTCCCCACCTTGGTCAAAAGCCAAGGCGTGCCAGGCGTGGTGGGGTTCTTGTCCTGACTCCTCCTCATGGCACCTGCCGGGGGCTGGATGCCTGTTGTACATTAACATGTACTGTGGAAGAAAGGTCATGTGTGCAACCTGGAGAAAAAACAGAACACCAAAAAAAACTCACTGAGTCATCTGTGCTAAGTGTGTCAGGCCTGAGCTGACCCAGTTTTCTGTGGAATTATTAAGGGCAGGGTCATCCCATGGGGTGAAATGCTGCTACAAAGGATGCTGTGGTGCTACACACAAGAGATGGATTAGCAAGATCCGTGTTACAAGGCCTTGATTTGTCTGTCATCTGATCCTTTTTAAATATGCTGTCAAGGAAGTTGATTTCAAAATGATCTCTGTATTGTTTGGGTCTGCTTTGGTGTAGCATGACATTCAGGATTCCTTTGCAGGCAACTGTGCAGAGCAGGGAAATCTATGTGAAATGCTTCCTACTGGAGTCACCATCTGGCCAATATTCATCTTGTTTAGTGAAATACCAAGATATCCGTAGAACGCAGGTGTTAATGCTGATCATAAGGCACAAGTGACCGCAGTAATAAACCAACATGCAATGAAATGTAATTAATGCACCTGGTGCTTGGGTTTGAAAAAAAATTTCAGTGCCTTTTTATTTTCCCTGCAAACTGAGTGCATTTTCATAGTTGGAATTTCAATCATCAGTTCTCAACCAACCCTTTAATCATATTAATTCTCTTAAAAAGTGAACTATAATGTTTTTTAGTAAACAATATTTCATAATTCAGTCAGCAGGAGCAAAGTGCAAACACACATGAAACTATATATTGCTTAGTAATATTTTTGTGGCATGAAAAAACTCTTGTCCTCTTTCTGTCAGTCTGGTTCTGCTGCTGGCAAAGATTTGTTTTCAGTCATGTAAGCCTTGTCGATATGTTCCAAGTGTTTTTGAACCAGCTGGAACAAGTGAAAAGATCCCAGGAAAAAAAATAAATTATTAAAATTTCTATCACTGGATTTCACAGTGTGTTTTTTATCTCACTTCTGTCCTGCATTAGTAATGAATGCATTTTTGTAAGGTTAAAAACCCCCAGGATGGCATTTGTTCCAAGCAGACCAAAAAATGCAACTCCATACTGGAAATGTAGATTATGTGTCTGTATTTCTGAGTTCCAGAAAATCCCATTATTTTCAAATGTCCTCTCAGAGCAGAGATCAGACCCAATCTCATCAGTCAGCTGGCAAATCCGAAGCAGACAGGTATTGTGGAGAAAGGGAGAGGTCAAAAAGTCAAAGAGAGGGGTCATGGGCAATTTTTATTTTTGCATGGATATTTCTCAAGGGTGGTCTGAGGGTTGCGAAGAACATAAATCTGTGGGTATACTTGTACACTGACAGAGAGGGATGGTCACACCAAGTGACTTCCCAATCTGGTGTATTTAGCAGGGACTCAGTGTGCTGCCTCCCCAGAGAGATGTCTGCTGCTGACACTGGCATTGCTCAATCCCTCTCCCCAGACCAGACACAGGTACAGATCACACTGTGTTCTGCCACCAATGGCCACTGCTAAGCCACAGGGAATGAACTGCTGGCAAGCCAGGGTCCTGGGCAAGGGTCAGCCACCAGTGGCCACTCATGAATGGGTCATTCCACCACCTTTATGGACGCTGACTACACTTTCACCTTCATCATTGGGCCATCCTTGTAAAGCAGACTTTGGCTCCCAGTCAGCAAGGACGGGCTGCTGAGGGTCACTGCCAAGTGACAGAACACCCTGTTGTCACATAGCTGAGGGTACAGCCAGGACCTCTGCAGTGTCCCCATCTTCCACAAGACAAAGGAAACTGGGAGAAGGACGGTCCACGTTGCAGCATGCTACTGAATTTTCTTGTGTTCAGAGAGAAACAAAGAAATTAAGGAAGTCCTGCTGACCCCAGGTTCTCTTACTGCCTCCCTGTAAAGCTGTTTTCTTGGCAAGCCCTGTCAGAAGGGCACAGGCAGCACTGGGGTGGGAGTGTGGCAGTGACAATGAGTGTGGATATTCACCTTGTGGGACAGGGCTGCAGAAGGGCTGATGGGGATGTTCCCTCCTGCCCTCGCCTGTTGCAGCATCCCTGCAATCCCTTCAATGACCTGGGTCAGTTTTAGGAAACAAATGACTTAGAGTTGTCCTTGATGCTTCCTGACCTTTTTTACAGCCACCATAACTGTTCTCCCTGGGCACCTGACTTTACACTTAGGTTAATAACCTCATAATGGGGTGCCAGCAGCAGACAAGACACATGCAACACCCAAAGCAAACCCTTGCTGCCAGAACAGGGCACTGCAGGCAGTGCTAACCAGGCTATCCTGAACCCCAGCACTCACAAGGACTAGGACAAAATCACCAATCTATTTTTTTACTTCTTGACCTTAGTCAGCTTTTGAGCCCAGGACTGCAGAGGTGAAAGGTTAATGTATTAAGCTGTCTGCTCTTCAATTAATCCCTAAATCCTGGGCAGATTTACAAACTCTTGGAAGATTTTAAATCTCACCTGATTTATGAGATGCCTTAAGTTCAGATTGCCTTTACAAATGGTCACCATACAGGGCAATAAGGATAATTGCTATACAGATTTATTATCAGGATGGAAATTTTAATTTCCAAAATAATGTACACCTGTCTATCCTGACACTGTCAGGAGAGCTGAGCATCTGAAATGTTAAACCCTGATGTCCCTTTATTTTCTTCATGGCTCATTGAAGAAACCAGTTGTGCTGAGGACAGGCTACGAGCCTGACAGACAGAGGAACAGAAATCCTTCTCCCATTACAGCAATGGAAATAGCTTGTTGAAAATAAAGCTATACACTGTTGCAGCATCAAGAATTTCTTTCAGATAATAGTGTAAAAATATACCTTTTGGAGGAAGTTCATTGTCTTTTAAGGAAGACCTTGACACTGGAGAGTTATGAGAATGTGTGCCAGAAGCTAAGGGAGTTGGCAGGCTAGGATATTTGCATATGGACTTTCTGCATCAATTAAAAACCTGGAGCCTCGAATACACAGATGTTTTAAAATGCATTCTTGTGCATTCTCTGGTGCCCTGAGAATCCTCCTGAAGCCAAGGAGAGCATAACTAATGTCCAGGCCCAGTAGTCCAAGAAAAGCCCCAGAGCCATTACCCCAAACACTGAAGAAAAGGCCAGGGAAGCTCTTCTATTCCAAGTTAATTAATCATAGAATCATAGAATTGTTTAGGTTAGAAAAGACTTTTAACATCAAGTCCAACCCTTACAGACAAGTCCACCACTAAACTATGCCCCTATGTGCCACATTTACAGGTTTTTTAAATACTTCCAGGGATGGTGACTCTATCATTTTCCTGGGCAGGCTATTCCAGAGTTTGACAACCATTCTGGTTTAGAAAATTTTCCTGATGACCAATTTAAACTATCCCTGACACAACTGGACTTGGCTACTAATCAATCTGCTCAGCTAAAGAAAGGACTGGATTGTAGGCTGAAGGCTGACGCCCCAGTCAGTAAAGGGAATCTAAACACTCCATGTTATCCTGTGACTAAGGGTGCCACTTGCCAATAAAAGACTCCATCTTCAGGAGGGTGTACTGGTACAAAGCCAGCTACCTGGCTGTCAGACAATGGGCATGAATCACACCCTGTGCTCATGATTCATGGCTGCTCACTAGGCTGAGCCTCCTCAGGTATTTCCATATCAAACAGAGGCAAGAATTTTCAAGGGCTTCCCACTCAGGTGGGATTGAACCAGTGGTGCAGAAGAAAAGAGCCTGTGTGCAGCCCTGGCCCCTGGCTCCTCAGAGCAGCTGCACACTGCTGCAGAGGAAACCTGTTCCAAAAGGTGTCAGACAAACTTTGCTCATGCAGCCTTTGCAGACATCTATGGGCTCAGTTATTGTTGAATATGGTCTTTGTTTAAAAAGTGTAACGTCTGGGGAGGACTTTCATCCACAACAGTTTGAAGAACAAGGAATAGCTCATTCCTTTCTCTTCTGAGCAGACACAGCCCTCTATGCAGAAATATTGTATTATAGGTATTTGGAAGAGAGAGGGTGTGGAGCGGGAAGGAGAAAATGCCAAGATCCCAGCCCCATCAATTGTTGTCAGCTCTGCTCTGGGAATAGAGTGTCGCTGTTAATTGCTGCTGCAGATCCAGCAGATGGTGGGTAAGACATTGTATTTAATGGAGCCCCTCAAAAAGAGTGGCATCTGTTTGTTTAATTTCTTGGCAACTGAACAGCAGATTTAAAAAACAAACAAACCAAATTGGACATTTAGCTATGAACATCTCCCTAACAGATTATAAATGTTTTAAGATAAATAGGTCAAATTAAGGAAAATATCAATTGACACATTTGAGAAGTAAGCCAAATTTTTAGATATTTTCTCTTTTAAAGATTAGATTTTCAACATATGGCAATGAAACTCCTTAAAGAGGCTTTTAAATTGAATGTTGATACTATCCTTTTGACTATGAATTTGTCTAAGTGTTCATAGAACTGTTACAAGTATTAATTCAGAAACTAATCTATTCTGCCTCTCTGACACACAAGCTGAGATTAAAATACGATTTCCAGATCTAGACACTTTAATCATGTGCATCTCCTACATTTATAAACAGCAGCAGAAAAACAAAGCAGAAATAATTCCTCTTTTTAACAGTTGGGACAAGCAACTCTGAGGAGCTATTGCCATAGCTATTGCTGCCACAGCTCCAGCATTAGTGCAATTCCTGTATTTCTGGAAATTCACTGCAACAGAAGTTGCCATAGTAGAGTTTGTCATGGATCCATCTGGAATAGGGAGTATGATACTGTCTCTAACAATGGTCAAACCTGGATGCTTTGCACAAGAATGTCAATGCCCTTGATCCTTATGGTCGATGCAGGGCTGCACCATGTGAAATCCACCGTAGCCCCACTCACTGAGTACACAGCCTCCCAAAGTGTAAGAGTGGATGACTCTCCAAAGAACTCCTCCAGGTACTTTTTCTGGGAAGCTTTCTGCACCATTTGTCAGATTTTAGGCATGTTTTTTACTTTCCTGTTTTAGAGCAGAGTTCAGATAGGATGCTTAAGCTGAGAAACAGCCCATGTGGCCTCCCTGTTTCCAGCTGCTGATCCAAAAAATGCTGCTGCTCACTTTTTCCTACCAGCTAACTCCCATCTATGTTCATTGCTGTGGGCTAGGCAGAGTCTTCCCATGCCAGAAAGCCATTCCCTGGGACTTTTTTCTGGATGGCCCATGGCTGCCAGCATGGCTGTGCTGCTCACATGTGTCCTCCCTGCACGTTCTGCTGATGGCTGCACGCTGGCTGAAGCTGTGCTGTGCTTTATTCCAGGGGCTGATTTCCTTTCTGGATGTGCACGTGCTGTCCCCTGACAACAGGCCTGGGCATGGGGGCACAGATCTGGGCATCCCTCAGAAGCGTTTCCTCAGGCAAGTGCTGGATGAGTGCTGGAATTCTTCCAGGTGAAAAAGGCCAGGGTAAAGATTCAGTTTAATCTGTGTGTGTCTGTACTGCCCAAGCAGGACAACCTTGGGCCACAGGGGGTAACTCACTACTCACAAAATTTCCCTGGGTGGGGAGAGTGTCTCATACTCTCTTGCTGACACAAATTCCCCTCCTCAGCCTGTCCCCAACTCTCTTCTCCCAGGAGCTTGTTTGTCCTATTCCAGATGGACATGAATGAGGAGATAAATGGGAACTATCAACACCATAAACCAACTGTCAGTGTTTTACCCTGGTGATTGAATTCTTCAGGGAAACATATATCTAAATATAGTCATAAGCTGCAGTCAGCCAATATTTTTACAGCTCTTTATTAAGATATGTATATTTCCCTTTTGTTTTTATTTTTATCATTCAGGTCATAGCTTTGTGAATATTCCAGCTTTTTAAAAAAAGGGGGCCTGAGATGTTCACATAGTGTATACACCTTGATAATGGCTGGTCAGTTGTGATGAAGCAAAACTTCTACCTCAGCTCCCCAGT